AAGACGAACATGGCCTGTCGCGCCTGGTGTTAACGTTGAATACAGTGACGTCACATCGCCAGATGATGCTTGATGTCCTTCAGTCAGCCGAGTAACCCGCGTTAAAAATCAGACAGTCACACACACGCTCGTGATTGGGCAGAGCCTTTATGTGGCGCGCGAATACTTGCAGTAGATAGGTGCGGAAGGTAAAGATGAACATACATATTGTATGATGCTTAATTGAATACCAGTGACGTCATATCGTACCTGATGCCTAATGGCCTTAAGTCGGCCCAAAAAGGCGCGGGAAAACTCATGACCAATGATCACACCACTTAGTGGATTACCAGTGACGACATACTCGTTAGATGATGCCTAATGGCTTTCCGGTCACAATAGCCTGTAAAAACTCATGATGACGCCACTCAGGTGATTCGGCAGAGCCATCATAGGCTCGCCAATACTTTAACAGGTGCGAACGGCAAAGATGGAACATGACATGTTGTGCCTGATGCTAGTCGAACACCCGTGACTCATATCGTCAACTGAAGCATTATACCATATAGGGGGTTGAAAGAGCCCGTAAGAACTCTTAACCAATGACGTGATATAAACGCGAATGCTTGCAGTAGACAGGTACGAAAGGTAAAGATGGAACATGGCCTGTCGCGCCTGATGTTGAGTCGAATACCAGTGACGTCATATCACCCGTGATGCTTTACAGGATATGATGCTTTGTTGCATTGGGCTGCCCAAGTGAACCTGTATAACTCATGACCAGTGACGTCACGCACTCAGATGGTTCAGCATCACCTTGATATAGCACGCGAGTGCTTGCAGTAAACAGGTCCGAAAGGCAAAGATAGAGCATGGCCTGTGCGCATGACACCTAGACGAAACCGTGACGTCATATGGTCAGCTGATGTGGTATGGCTTACAGTGGGTTCAAAACAGTCTATACAAATTGATGGTTAGTGAGTTACACACTCAGGTAATTCGGCAGACCTTCCTTCAGCATTCAGATACTTGCAATGGACGGTACCAAAGGTAAAGATGGAGCATGGCCACGGCCGCCTGAATTGTATTCGGATACCAGTGACGGCACATCTTCAGTTATGTAGTATGGACCTTTCGTCGGCCCAAAAGAGGCCGTAAAATCTGATCACAAGTGACATCACACGCAGTCGAATGCCAGTGACGTCACACCATTAGGCTATGCTTTACGGCCCTCAGTTGGCCCCCAAAGATCCATAAAATGCATGACCAGTGACGTCACACACTCACGTGATTTGGTAGCTTTTATTCATCACGCCAGTGCTTTGCAGTAGACAGGTAAGAAGCAAAAATGAACCTTGACCTGTTGCGACCAATATTTAGTCGAATATCACTGACGTCACGATACCCCAGTGATATTTCACGGAAATGATACACCGCCTGGCCGTGGGGCCTAAGTGCACTCGTAAGTGGTGATTGGTGACGTCACACATTCAGGTGATTCGGTCAAGCTTTTATTCGGCACGCAAATGCTTGCACAGACAGGTACGAAAGGTAAAGATGGATAAGGCCCGTTGCGCTGATTTGTTCATTGAATACCAGCGACGACATAATCGTCAGGTGATGCTTTACGGCATTCATTGCACCCAGAAGAGCCCTAAAGCCTCAACAGTGACGTCACATATCAGTCGAATACCAGTGACTCATATCGCTAGCAAAAGCCTTGTAGCCTTCAGTCGGCCCAAAAGAACCCAGATCGATGCAAACCATTTTCAGTGACGTCATACGTCGCTGATACCTACAGCGTTTCTCCAATCATGGCAGTACAGGAACCCTGCAGCCAGCGTAGCTCTCCCCACCGTCGCATACAGGTACCCAAGTAAAAAAAAGCCGATCCATGCTCTTACCTTCAAATTTTTTATAATTACGATGGTGAGCTCCCGAGCGCCGCACACACACAGCAGCAGTGAACTACCCCCCTAAGGACAGCTTTTATCAGGATCACTTACACCCTTCCTAAAACAATTCACCAATGGATTTGGTCACTTTTGGTGGCCTTGCAATAACATTATCAATGAATGCATTGTGATAATCTCAATAGCCATATTCAATCACTCCTGCTCAACATTTTGATAAGCTGCCCCTAGTTCAAAGTTGCACTCAACCTCTACCCCACCCAACCACTCATCCAAATCTGCAGTGGTTTGTAGGTCTGGGCAAATGCACCTTTTCATTCTGCACCTGGCTTGAATGGGTGAAACCACTCAGCTACAATTTGAAACATTTCAAAGCCACACTTTGGTCCTAAAGAAGTAACAGTGCAAAAATTCATTCTTGCCAAAATCCAAAAACAAGATTTCAGCAACACCAAATGGGTCAAAGTTACATAACAGGCTTGCTGACCTTGCAGGCCACAACCTACAAAAATTGTTCAGATTCATTTGCCCAGATATACACATACCCACCTCGAGATGCATAAATCACACCGCAATTCCTAAAGTTGCAATGCCGACATGAAAAATACAAAATTCAACCAACCGGAGGTCTCATTCAAAAGGATACACCATCAGCTTCTGTCCCATATCTTGGATCAAAGTCGCTGCCTGCTGTCTGTAGAAAAGTTCCTTTCTTATGTCTATTCCATCCTTCTTGCTTGGGGTATTTGCCAGCTTTTCTTTGGGAAAGAACCATCTTTCCTGAGTCGCCATCACCGCCACAAACACCTAAGCGCAACTGACAAGATGGCGTCGCTGAACTGCGCGTCCCCATGCTCTCGTGTTTATCTGCAGAAATACAAAATTCCAATTTTTGGGCATCAGGGATAAGTTTTGTTAGAAGAATATTATTTTCAAAAATTTTAAAGCCATTTTTTTAAAAATCAATAGCATTTTATTTGATATTGGATAAACTAAATTTGTGAAGTATCTGCAGAAGTCAAGTACCAACAAAATGGGACAAAATTAATTCAACTACCAGAATAAACGTTATATAACTAAAATAGACTTATCAGCACTAACTGAACCAGCATGTCATAGCTGATGGCGTCTGAGTTTCAAAACATTCACGAGCCCACGTCAGTTTATTTAAAGTATATTTCATCATCATGATAATGGCCCTTGCTGATGGGTTTTATATCCTAGATTCTATTAAGATACTTCGATTTCCTCCCACATTTTGATGATTTGTTTCGCCTATTTGCTGGAATCCAAGCCAATCTGGTCCATGGTGTTTTTTTCCAGACAGTTGCTCCATGTATTTGGTGCATCAATCAGGCATTACGGTAAGCGAATTCCTTAAATTGTTGGTGAAAGCGTCCATATTGGTGGCAGTAATCCAATCGATAGTGAAGTGCTTATTTTGGTTCTAATGGATGCAATTTGGGAATCATGCTCATTTTGGATTTTCACTATTATTTTTGGTGATAGGTTAATAAGGAAGTCAACGAAACACATGACAGTTAAAGGCAGCTAGATACTGCTTTCGCTCAAATGCGTCATGGACGTTAGGACGTAATGGTTGCGTAACATGGTGGAGAGCGTGGGGGTTGATGCAAGTTTCCCCCATAAAGTCATGGTGAGGGGACGCCAACATTGTATTTCAGAACCCCAAAACCTAAAAGCTGCGAAAGCCAAGGGAGGTTACTAAAGTGCTCGCAAGCCTTGATCTGTCGCGGGCATCAAGCTTTAAGTCATCACGCTCCAGGGTACCACGAAATACTATAAAGCTTTCACTTGCGGTAGGCAACCGAATTCCCAGAGGCAATCGCGGTGTCCCCTCTCCCTGACAGATACTTGTCACTCCCTTGGGCCTGGGATGCCAAAACTATCATTTTGGGACCTGCGGTCTTTTCAATTGCACAATTAATGGGGGCCAGTAAAGAGCCTCAAAAACCTAGGATCCAGAAAACCCTTGAGCCCCAGAGCCTAGGCTAATTTCACAAGAAACCAAATTTCAAGGTGCCCTCATAGCGAAGATCAGGTGGTGTGGCCTTGTTTGCAAAGTGCCTAAAAGTTACTCGTGATCGAC